TGTTATTTCCCCTTTTGGTGTTGTTCGTTGTGTATTGTGTGTTGTGATTATTTCTCTTTTTTCCTTTCTATCCTTTTCTTTCCATGATAAGGCGTTGAAAACCGATTGGTAGATGTTGATGTTCTTTCTTTTTCCTGACGTTTTATTGATGTTTTCTTGGTGTTTTATTTTCTTCCTCTCTTTCTTAGTAGCAACCCTCGACTGCATTTGGGAATGAACATTAATTTGCATATCTTTAATTACCCAAATCTTCCCAGATTTTATATGGTCTATGTGAATGTGAAGACATGAGGGTTTCGCACGTACTCATGCATTAGGGAAAAAGATTACATGTTTCCTATGTCTTTCCTATTCTTATTAGCCTTTAGATCATATTAGAAATTAGTAGTGATTGTGCATGTTTTGATTATTGACTTTTCTTAATACTGAAAATGTTGTGATGTTAAGGTTGAACACTTTGTTGTGATTTATGCAGAGCCATATATTGTGTGAGTTTGTTTGTTATTGGTGATGATGATGATAACAATGATGGTATTGATGATGATGAAGAGGAGGAGGATAATGAAATAGAAAATAAGAATTAAGTAGTAGAGTGTAAGTTGTCATTTTAATATGCATGTCTGACCGTAAAAATAATATGATGTAAGGTTGTATGTGTGAATGTGTTTTATGTTTTAATACATGTCTATCTTTCATATAAAGCATACCGGAACAATGAAAAAGGGCAATTAATTCATCAAAAAAATATATATTATGAAAAGGAGGAAAACAAAAATAATGTTCCACAAGAAAGGACCATAAGCCTACGAAAGAAAGTTCAGTCAATCAAGGTAGCCAGCCACTAGAGCTACCGTAGACTAGTAGATTAGACAGGAGTTGAAAAATGACTGCGGGACGAAGAGAGAGGCCGAAGGAGGAGGCGAAGGATGGACGGAGGCAGGCCGGGGGGGGGGGCCGGCGGGACGAAGCCTCTGAAAAGAATGATTTGGCAGGTTTTCTTTTCTTTTCTAGTCCAAAAGACCCGAGGCACAATCTCCTTTTACCTGCCTCATCAGACTTCGATGATATGCCGGCCGTGTTTGAATGAAGGGAAGAGAGGCAACCACAATCAGCCTAATGGAACATTAGCCTTGCGCTTGTGCAGTCAACCTCCGCGAAGTTAACTATTATTCAGCGCGGTTTTTCCTTCTTGGTTATTGTTTTTCTTTTCTTGTGCTCTTCCGGTTCTTTCTTCCTTTAATCCCTTGATCTTCGTCTCCCTTTTCTAAATATTCTTTCTCTCTCTCTCTCTCTCTCTCTCTCTCTCTCTCTCTCTCTCTCTCTCTCTCTCTCTCTCTCTCTCTCTCTCTCTCTCTCTCTCTCTCTCTCTCTCTCTCTCTCTCTCTCTCTCTCTCTCTCTCTCTCTCTCTCTCTCTCTCTCTCTCTCTCTCTCTCTTTCTCTCTCCTCTCTCCATTCTGTGCTCTCTCTTTTTTCCTCTCCCATCCCTCCATTTATCATTGTCTCCACGTATCTACCTGTCTCTCTCGCCCGCCCCTATATTAATCACCCAAATACACCTCATATCAACCTGCGCCTCCTCCGCGCCCATTCGGCCACCGCGCCCACTCTTCGGCCGCCGTGCATTGCAATCAGATAGAGACCCCGTGCTAAATCAGGGTTGTGATCCTGCACAGTTTCTTAATCAGGATCCAGGAGCTTCTCGGAGGGGATTCCAAGGGCTCTGGCGCGGGATCAGTCGTCTATCCGAGTCTGCTTATGAATGAGACGATTAGGCTCCTCGCGCGTCTGATCTAAGGGCTCGAGGTGAGAGCCGCGATATCATAGACTCTAAGGCGAAGACCCGCATTTCATTTTATTTATCCGGATCCTCTACGCTTAAGCTGAGCGAAGGGGATTCGACACGCTAGCTTTGGCTGCGCTGCGAGGGTGAGGTAAGCGGCGTTGCAAGCGTTTGTTGCACCTTAGCACAGCTGCAAATCTGGGCTGAGATACACATGCACCGGAGCACTTGGTCGAAACGGAAATGGTTTTGCAGGTAATAATAGCACTTGTTACGAATGAAAGCATATAGGTATCATTATAAAGATGATTATGAAGAATGCTAAAACTGAGGTGATTATGATATAAGTGGTAAGATTTATATATGATTATGATAATAATGTTAATGACAATAATGATTATAAATAATGACAAAAGCGATAATGATAAAGATGATGATAAATAATAACAAAAATAGTGCCGATAAAAATGATGATGATAATACTAATAATAATGATAACAATTACAATAGTAATTATTATTATTATTATTATCATCATCATTAATAATATTAATGATTATCATGATAACAATAATAAGGATAATTAAAATGACCATGAAAATAACAACAACAATAATAACAATGATAATGACGATGACTGATAATGACAATGATAAGGATAATAATGATAGTAACAATGAAAATAATTATGATATTAATCAAGATCATAATTGTGATAATAATAATAGCAATGACGATAATAACAGTAAGATAACAGTAATGAATAATGATAATAATAGTGATAATAACTAACAATAGATAATTATAATAATGATAATAGTAATAATAGTAGTAATAATAATATCATGATGATAATATTAATGATAACAAAAATAATAATGATGATAATTGTAATAAGGATAACAATAATGATAATGATGATTATAAAAGAAATGATGATAGCAACAATATTGATGTGATATTGGTGACAATAATATGAAAAATCTACTTTGTACATATTAAAGAAGTATCAACAAAGAGAAAGAATGGAAAAAAAGAGTAAGAGGGAGAAAGAGAGAGAACAAAACGAAAGAGAGGAGAAAGTCAAAGAAAGTGGGAAAGAGAGAGATGAGAGAACCAGACAGAGATTACCATTTCTTGAACTGTGGTAAAAGTCGCTGGTGTCCTCCTACGAGAGCGGCGCAGGAGTATAAGGTATTGTAGTCAAGTAGGAAAAAGCTGGTATTTTAACGAAACCTTTTCAGATTGTGAAGGAGAGTGCAGGAGGAGTATGCTCTGAGAAGGAGTGTTATTCAGGGCGTGGACTCGAGACATACGTACATGATGTCAGGCTTCAGATGCTGGGAGAGTTACTGATTTTTTTTTTTCTCTCTCTCTTTGTTTTTCTTTTTTTTTGTGTGGTTTGTAAGCCGGGAAAGTATGAGGCTGAGGATGTGATATACAAATGAGGAGAGAGGTAAACATGATGAAAATAGTATGAAGAGGGGAAGAAGATGAGACCAGAAAGAGGGGGAGAAGAGAACCATGAGATAACGAACAATCTGTCAGAAAAGTTATGACCCCCCCAAAAAAAAAGAAAAGGAAAGAAAAAAAGTTTGTAATGAAAACTGTAAGTAATCAAAGTTTCGTTTCTCTTCAAGGGTGTGATAAGTCATGTTTTATCTCAGGCGTAACCATATTCGCGAAAATAGTTTGCAAAAACGAAACCTCTCTCTCTCTCTCTCTCTCTCACTCTCTCCCATTCCCTCTTATATTTACGCGTTTATATGAAGCAGTACACAATGGTATTGGTACGGTCAATAGTATTGTTTTCCGTTAGTGCCGCAGATAACACACAGATCTCTTTTGGCCTCATTCTTTGAATTACTATTTTCGTCCGTGTCTCTTTGTGCGCCAGTTTGATCTACTGCAGTGTGCGTGAATGTGGGTGTTCGTGTTTTTGGTCCGTATTTTATTTCAGGCGCTGCACTCTTTCAGTACAGTGTACATTTGTATATATGCATGTTTCCTCTTTGAGATTTTGTACAAGAGCATGCCTTTTAGCATACTGTTTAAGTTTAAATGTTTGTGTTGTATTTAAAGGGTAAGTACATGGTATATTTGGCTGTACTTATGAATATATATGCATGGATTAGAGTTGATTTCGAAACTAGAATTGGCTATACTAGGATTAGTAAGATAAAGTTGTATTATCATGTTTCTGTTAAATTTATAAGTGTACAATATTATTATTATCACCTCTTATTGCTATAGATGTAACACAGTTATTTCGATCCTTTAAATTAAGCGATTTGATTATATATTTTTAAGTTATTCACTACCCTTAAGAAGAAATAAACAGCGCCAAACCTCGCTGTCTACTTCCTCTAAAGCGAAAGAATCCCGGGGTTAAACAGAAGACGAAAATGCAAGAAAAGAGAACGAAAGAAAGAAAGAAAACAATAGTTCGAGTTCCTTGTACCCTTGATACACATTTATTGGGCCTTGGAGAGTTGGAAGTAATTTGGAAGATTACTTTGAGCAATTTTACACTCTCTATTTGTTTGTCTTTTACTGCTTTAGTTCTCTAACGCTGGTGCAAATGTTAGCAGATTCATCACCGGGTGACCTTATCTGCGGAGAATACCCGGATGTAAACGACATGACTTGACACGCGCGGGTTTCGTGTAAATCGCCCGAGGATTCTTTCGTGAAAACTAGTGGATGTGTTTTATATGCGTATATGTATATTTGTATATATATATATATATATATATATATATATATATATATATATATATATATATATATATATTATATATATATATATATATATATATATATGTATATATATGCATGTATGTATATATGCATCTATGTATGTATATGCACACATTCACAATGCATTATTTAGTTATACAGCTGCAGTTTGTATAGATATCTATATGTTATCTGTTATTCAATATGATTCTAAATTTGAAGGTTCTAATTGAATTAAAAGCGTTTACATAATTTCAGAAAAAAACAGTGTGATATAGAATAAAGATAACAATAAAGGAAAGGGCTACTTTTACTCTAGGGTTAGATAAGACAGAGAATTTCAGTTTAATTTCAATTTTCAGCATAGCACTTTCATATTTGCACTACATTCACGTAAATGGGATAGGAATTAGACCTTTATAGACTGACTATGACCGCGGAAGCCATTCGAACCAGCTGACTGACTCACTCTCTCTACAGCTAACCCCGAGGGCCCTGGATGCTGCGCAATCGTTCTTACTATCATCTCCTACCTTCTCATCATCGCTACTTTCCCGTTCTCACTATGCATGTGCATCAAGGTAAGTGCGAGTCTTGTGATGCCGTCTTAAGATTAAGAGTATTTTTCATTTGTTTTTTTTTTTTTTTTTTTTTTTTTTAGGGGGGAGGGAAGGGTTAAATAAGGGGTAATATAGGGGAGAAATCAGGGAAGGGGGATTTAAAGAGAAAAGCAGGCAAAGGGGAATCTGATGAGGAGAGTCTTATGATGCCGTCTTAAGATTAAGAGTATTTTTCATTTGTATTTTTTTTTTTTTTTTTTTTTGGGGGGGGAGGGAAGGGTTAAATAAGGGGTAATATGGGGAGAAATCAAGTAAGGGGGATTTAATGAGAAGAGCAGGCAAAGGGGAATCTGATGAGAAAGCAGGCAAAGGGGAAAAGCAGGAAGGGGTAAGCAGAGGGAAACAGGGATGGGAGGGGGGGGGGTATTTCGGGTACGAGAGGAAGAAGGAAGGATCTCATCCGCTGAAATAAAAGGTTATTGTTACGGGATTTCACTTCATTACGTTGCATTGGATATTGCAAATTCTTTTTCCGGTGATCATGGACTGGGAAAAGGGAATATAGGCTTATTATTGTTGAGCAATTTTTTTTCTAATATGAATCGACTTTTGATGAATAGAGAGCGTCTAGTTATTATGCAGATTACGCTAATTAGGATCTGAAAATATTCAAGTTCGAATCGGCTACGACAATTTTTTTTTTTTTTTTTTTTTTTTTTTGAGGGGGTGGGAGGAAAGGATACAGGTAAGCTTTTATCTCTTGTGTGTTGAGGATATTATTTTCGATAAAAAATAAAGCGTTTTAGGGAAAGTAATAGATGATTGGAACGTTAAGGATAAACCAGATAACAAGAAGCCGATATACTTAGCATTAATTCCGGTTACAAAAGTCTACGGAATGACAACCCGCATTTAACTTCTTTTTTGTGTGAGGGGCGCGCAATCTCAAGATACTTTAGTTAACAGAATAGCTAATGTTTCAAATTTCAATAAATGGACAAATATAGATAGCAAAAAATTAAATAATTATCATACCTATGATTTGATGTTTTGTTGAATACTGTCCAGCTTTTAGCAATGAATTGTGTCATTCTGAGGAGAAAATAGACAAATACCGAATGCTTGTTGTTGATGCTGCTCGCCTCGCCGCGGGCGGGCGAAGAAAGCTTGAGCTCCGCGAACTCGGCCGCTGGTTATTGCGACCGCACCTGTGTCGGGATTAACTTGTTTGTCCAACTTCGCTCCGTTATGTTTATTCATGGAGTCCGAGAGGACCAGTCGGCGACAATTCGAGGAAAGGATATGCGGCTGGGCGGTTATCTTTAGTCGCGATTTGAAGTAAATTTATGCATATGAATGCATATACACGCACATATACACACACACACACACATACACACACACACACACACACACACACACACACACACACACACACACACACACACACACACACACACACACACACACACACACACACACACACACACACACACACACACACACACACACACACAAACACACGTGGGTGTGTATATGGATGTATCCTTGTATATATATCTATATATATGTTGTAGGAATTTTAGATGTGTCTGGATATATGCCCTCGGTGGTGCTGTGTACATAAATTCTGTACTGCAGCTGATTTACATATATCCATCCAACATTTTTTTCTAATCGTTCAACTGCAAATAGAAAAAAACATTCCGTCGCCGGGGAGTGTCATGAAACGAACGAATCACAAGTAAAAAAAAAAAAAAAAAACAGCAACGCTCACGCACGCGCGCACTTTCGCACGCACGCTCCCAAACAGAAATGAACCCTGATTCGGCCGAGAAAAGGTCAACAGGAAAGGGACACGGGCGAGGGCTAGCTATCAGGGAACTCACACAAAGGTCAAGGTCGAATAGGAAACTTCAAATAGTCAGAGGGAAGGCAATGTTCCGTGGGCGTGAGCGTGTGTTTGCGTGTGCGTGTGCGTGTGTGACTTTGAGAGAAAGGTAAATAGATGGAGAAAGAGAGAGAAATTGGAGGGAGAAGGGAGAGGGAAAAAAACAGATTTATAAGCAAAGTAACAGAAATGTGCCGAGAACGTGCATTAAATAGAATAAAAGTCGGAAATTATAAGATATTAATTGAAAACGTTAATAAATGCCAGAAAGCATAAATCACACAGAAAAAAAAAACGAGAGATAGGAGAAATGGATGCCAGATACCAGTCAATCACGGGATTCAATCGCGTTTAGAGATTGCAGCCTGCACTGACTCGTTTATTACTTTTGATATTATATCCTTTTCAATCCTGTATTTGAACAGTTGCATTGCACAGCTGTTAGATAGATCCTCTTCCCTATCAATAATCAAGAGTTTATATCAATAAATACTTGGGGACATACAGTTAGGAGGGTTAGTTGATAGAGTTAGAGGAGAGAGAGAGAGAGAGAGAGAGAGAGAGAGAGAGCCGAGAGAGAGTAGAGAGAGAGAGAGAGAGTGAGTGAGAGTGAGTGAGTGAGAGAGAGAGAGAGAGAGAGATTCGCTCATTATGCAATATATTTCATCCGAGATACAATATCTTTTCATGTGGTCCAATATGCGGGCCTTTTATCCAAAATATATTGTAATGCATGTATTTCTAATTCTCTCTCCCTCCCTCAAGAGAGTTGGTACGAGAGAAGCCGAAAGATAAAGATAGATAGATTGAAAGAGAAGAAGAGGAATAGAGAGAAAGTTTGTGGAGAGGATAAGGGATATGAAAAGGGAAAGAGAGGAGAAGAAAAGGTGAAAAAGAAGGGGAGAGGGCGGGAGAAAGAAAGGGAGTAAGAAAAGGGAAAGGGAGAGAGAGAGAGAGAGAGAGAGAAAGATATTATATATATATATATATATATATATATATATATATATATATATATATATATATATATATATAGTATGAGAGAGAGAGAGAGAGGGAGAAAGAAATAGAATAGGAGAGAAAAAAAAGGGAAAAAAAAATAAAGGATCATAAGAGAGGGAAAAAGGCAAAGAAAGATACAAGCCAAGAAACAGAGAGGACAGAAAAATACTGCCATTTTGTTTTATCTGCCCAATTTCACCCCAAGGAGGATAATTGTTGATTCAAAGATGATTGAGTTAGATTGCTTTTCTTTCGGCCGCTTCCTGTTATCGGAAGAGGAGGACCGATTATATACTTTCCTCGGGAGAGCGGAAGGCAGTCGTACTTATATGTTATTAGCAGGGAATTTGGCCTTTATGTCCGGTTATTATTAGGGATTTTTTGTAGTTTATGCCGGTTATTGATAGGGTTTTAGATTTATGCCGGTAGGGATTTTTTTAGCTTTATGCCCTTATTACTAGGGAATTTTCGGTGTATTATTACCAGGATTTTTCACCTTTATGTCCAGTTATTACTAGGGAAATTTTATTTTTATATCCGGTTATTACTAGGGAATTTTTAGCTTTATGCCCGGTTATTACAAGGGTTTTTTGGGGATTTTTTTTAGCTTTATGCCCGGTTATTGTTAGGGGATTTTAGCTTATGCAAGTTTATGTGTGGAAAATTTTAGCTCTATGTAGGTTATGTGTGGGGAATTTTAGCTTTATGTATGTTAGTAGATAATGTTAACTTTATCGAAGTTTATCTTCTTATAACTGTATCATTATTAGGATTGGTGTTGGTTGAGAGATAGAGAGAGAGAGAGAGAGAGAGAGAGAGAGAGAGAGAGAGAGAGAGAGAGAGAGAGAGAGAGAGAGAGAGAGAGAGAGAGAGAGAGAGGAGAGAAGAGAGAGAAGAGAGAGAGAGAGAGAGAGAGAGAGAGTGATTATATTTTAAAAAATGAATACGAGAAGAGGTTCATTGAGCCAGATACGCCAACAACGAACCAAATAACCATACATCGTTATGAAAAATATTAGGGTAAAGTATATCATTATAAGCGATGAGAACATACAGGTGCTCCGGAGCTCAATGGAAAGGATTTATCATAGGGTCAGCATTTTAATTTCCACATCCGCTATAATAACCAACAGCGAAACTCACTCGTTCGGCTGTTTGAATAAAGTTGCTCAGAATTCGTAACTCGGGGTATGTACTCTGCTTTATGATGTTTGTTCTGAATTAAATATTAGCGAAACAAATAGAAATCCTGAGTAAAAAGAATAAATGAGCGTTATTCATATCGGAATGCCAGACCGTTCGTTGCGTTTATAGAGGAGATGCTATCGACTCGACCGGGAGTAATTGAAGTGATTTCGGAGAACCAGTCGATAGCTATTCCCGTATCATTTGTAAAAAAAAAAGGGAAAGAAGTTTGTCATTTGCGGTATAAAATAGCTCGGATTTCAACATTAACGTCGATCATTGAGGGTTTAATGATCGTACTTTGTCATTAGTGGGAGCAACTTTGCCTTGAATCGCAACAGTGGGTTATCTGTTGAAACCAGATTGTTCCTTTTTCTGTTGCTGGTTTGAACGTAAAATTTCCCCTCTTTTCGTGATTTCGTCGGTTGAGGGAAATGAAAAGAGTCGTTTGAGGAATGATCATTTCGTTTGTGTAGACAGAGGTAGTGTATATTGATCGTGTTTATGAAGATATGCTATATATGTGGTTTATGAATATGTGTATGTTAATGTGAGTGTGTATGTGTCTGCGTGTGTATATGTGGGCGTGTGCAGTTATAAAGGTTGGTCATTCAATATGCAAATTCCAGCCTCGACCCGGAATCTTTTTTCGATAATTCTTCCCCCCAAACATTTTAGCATTATATTACAGCATTCGCGATTTTTGCTCTAATAATTTTCTCTCTTACTCTCCCTTTCTAAAACAAGATAACACTATCCTCTTCAAATGACCTTTAACAACTATCAGTATTACATAATCTTCGATCCCTACAACCCAACAACCGCATTTTAAATCCTCATCACACATACCAGATCAAAATATTTTCTTATCACATTGCAACTAACACTAAACAGAACGACGGAGGGAAGCGAAGAGGCAGCCACATATGTCAG